CAGATGGTCCATTTACTCTAAGGTTAAAAACATTTCAAAATTATGTTTCTTACATGGCCCACATTTTCTGATGACAACTCGATTTAATATTTAACATTTCATGTCATGTAGTCTTTTAATATAGTTTGACCAAGTGACCAAGTAACAACCCTCCTCTGAGCTCCACATCTCCTCTCCCTGGCACAAGACAGAGATGTACATCCCAACTTCTATCAATCGCCGTCATCACACCTTTCCAGAGCTTTGCTTCTTTTCATCTCTCTCTTGACTCACAGACCTTTCTTTGACCTCCCTTCAAACATTGAACCGCTCACTGCTCTGCTCTCCAGACTCAATCCAAAGACTGATGTTGGAGAAGCAGATCTCCTGCCTTTAGGCTTCTCCGGCCTCGGACGGTTCACCAACGCTGCTCCAGTAACCTCTCAAGTTCCACATGAAGACCCTTTAACTCATTTCTCTGGGGTTCTGGCTTTAGAGGCCAGATGGATAAATTTAACAATTAGTTCAACCAGGCATTTTTGTCCCTCCCATGTTCTGGGTGCTGCATGTTGTTACCACACCACCAGTACTCCCTCTAAAGACGAACAGACGATCTGGTCGACACTCCAACGCCATCAGTGAGTGCACAAGCAGTCGGATGATGATTGTCGAGCTCAAGTAGAAAAAACGGACACCTGTAGACCTTATTGTCGCTAACTAGTCTTTAGTTGAGCCCACAGAATTGAAGCAGATTTACTTGCACCTCAGTTTCTAAGCCTCCACCTCCAATGCTGTATTGGAAACAGTTCTGTTTGCACGGAAAACACCAAAGTATGTTACATCATGCTGCAACATACTTTGGTGGTGTTATATTTATCAAAGAATGAGTCAGATCAATACCTTAAACTCAGTCACTCCACTCCAGTCTCTATCTGATCTCTTCCTCTCCACATTTGTTGCAGTCCAGATTATTTCAGTGTTTCTTTGCAGACAGCCCTATTAGAGTCATGGATGTGTAATAATGATTGATGTTTGATTAAACCCCCCACCCCACAAGTATTGCAGGTGTTTTAGTTTAACAGTTGCCTCAAGTTAATTGCTTCTGACTTAAACTATAGCAGTAATGGAAAGTGTCTAAAGAGGCCAAGAGTGATGGTGAGGAGATGATTCCCGAGAAGAGAAACAGGGAGATGTCTGATGTTTTCCCAGTGAGAAACAGGCCTCAGTGAGCAGCTGACGGATAGAACAGGTACAATATTAAAAAAAAATAATTCAAAATCTGCCTGGAATCTGAAGGAATTTCACATTATTACGAAAGCAGTTAGATTGTTGTGATCCCTCTATGGTAGCAGATCACCCCCAGGCAACAAACCATTTCCTGGACTGTCACAGTGAATTCTGCTGAATGATGTAGCTCTTTAAAAGGAAAGGAAACCATGAGAAACCAAAAATATTTCTTGAATTTGACACATGACTTTCAGAAAACTAAA